TGCGCTAGCATCACCTATGCTAGGAGCAAGTGCGGCATCGGCAAGTGAACTAGCTGAGAGAAGGAGAGACAGAGAGGAGAGAGTTGCGCCTCACTATAGTGACTCTTACCTGCAATCGGCGATATGCTCGCTCACCTGCCCCACGTGCCCTTGCGTCTCCATTTCACGAGTCCTCTCTCTTCTGCCTCCCATCATAGACACCACGCAACGCTCGCATGGCGCCACACATACGTGGCACCAGCGACAGAGCCCCTGCCTGCTATGTGCCAGCGCCAAACGCGCCAGCGCGCAAGGCGCCAACGCGAAACACGCCAGTGCGCAAAGCGCCAGGGCAAAACGCGCCAGCGCGTAAGGCACCAGCGTGCAAGGCACCAACGCCCATAATGTTGCCAGCACGAATTAGTTAGGAGCAAGAACGAGTTAGGAGCTAGAACGAGTTAGGAGCTACAACTAGTTAGGAGCAATGAGTAGTTACGAGCAATTACTAGTATGAGCAAGGACTAGGTACGAGAAGGACTAGGTATGAGGAAGGGACTAGGTAGGTACGAGGATGGACTAGGTTTGAGGAAGGACTACGTAGGCATGAGGAAGGGCCGCTACTGCTTCGCTGTCCTTCACACTTGACTCCGGTACGTCTGCCTGCTTCTTCCGCGACCACGCTGCGCTTACGCCGCTTGCTGCGCCTCCCGCTGTCGCACTTGCTGACCCCTCCTCTGGTCCTGTAGTTGCTCATAGCTACACTACCATTCCCTGTCCAGCTGTCCCCTCGGGTTCCCTTATAGGCCTGCACATCCCCTCGTTCTCCAGGAACTTAGTTGTGTTGGCTGTCTTCAGGTCCTTGGCGTCACCACTACGTTCCCTGCTAAGGAGCGGTACGCCGTCTGTACCGAGGCCGCATCAGATTCCCCCCTTGCGACGTTCTTCCGGGACCCGGTGTCTAGCCTCTTTACGCTGGACACTACTTCTCCCCCGGGTGGGGCGTCCTCCTCGTGTCCTGCATCTACCTAGGTCGCCGCCGCGTGCTCATATCGGTTGCTCACTCACCCGTCGCTTCTGTGGCACCACCGCCTAGGTCACCCCGCACTCCCGCGTCTGCGTCACATGTCCCAGCACGGTCTCGTCCTAGGTCTCCCTGCGTCGCTTCCTGCCCTCCCTCTCTCGCCTACGCCCCCGTGCATGCCCTGCGTCGAGGGCCGGCTGCGCCGTGCTCCTCATTCCTCATCGCTTCGTCCTGCCGCCGCACCCCTCCAGACCCTGTACCTGGACGTCTAGACCGCGTCGCGAGCGCTACTTCCTAGTGCTCTTGGATGACTACACGCGCTACACCATGGTGTTTCCCTTGGAGCAGAAGGCCGACGTGCTCAACGTTCTTATCCCGTGGGTCGTAGCTGCACGCCTCCACCGCGGTCTCCCGGTGTTGTGTCTCCACTCCGACCGTGACGGCGAGTTCGCCTCTGGTCGGCTTGGACAGTTATGTCGTGTGGAGGGCATCATCCAGTTGTACACCCTACCGGACTCCCTGCAACAGAATGGGGTCACAGAGCGACGCATCGGTTTGGTCATGGAGGTGGCTCATACCTCCAAGATTCATGCCAGTGCACCCCATATTCTGTGGCCGTTCGCCGTTGGCTACGCCACTCACCAGCTTAACCTCTAGCTACGCTCCCAGCGGCCGCAGGTTTCGCCGACCCTTCTTTGGTCCGGGTTCCCTGGTGAGGCATCCACGTTCCACGTCTGGGGCTGCCTCGCTCACGTTCGTGCCTCTGGCACGCACAAGCTCACTACCCGCACTGTCCCCTGTGTTTTCCTCGGTTTCCCCCTTGACTCGTCTGACTGTCACTTTTACCACCCGCTGCCTCATCGCTTCTTTCACTCCCATGACGCCACCTTTGACGAGTCTATCTTCTTTTACCACCGCTTTCCCCATCGAGGTCTCCCAGTTTCCCCTCCCCCATTTCTAGTTCCCACTCCCTCGGTAGCCCCTGCTCACCTCCCTCCCCGTCCTGCTCCGTCTGGTGTGTCTCACGTCACTCCCCTCCCGTCAGTTGTCCCGTCGAGGAGTCGGCAGACTCTGGTGGCCCCGCAGCGCAGCTCTCGCCGCCTGCCTCTTTCCCGGTTTCTCCTCCTCCGCTGCCGCAGTCGCCAACGCTGCACCAACCGCCGCCGCCGTTGCAGCAGCCGCCGCCGCTACAGCAGCAGCAGCCGTTCGTGGACTCTGGGGGTGCTGGCGTTGAGGAGGGTGCTAGTCCTGGGGTTCGTGTCGTGGCTTGTCCTGACGGGCTCAGGGGTGGCACCGGTGCTGGAGAGGGTTTTCACTCTAGGGGTGCTCCTTCTGGGGGTGCTGGAGTGGAGTGTTCCGGAGGTGGCTGTGGTGCAGCTGGCGGTCCAGGTATCGGCGTCGAGCAGCCGCCGCAGCAGCAATCGCCACTAGTGTCCGCCCTTCGCCTCCTCTGCCTTCCCTCCCCTGACCGCTCGCCTGCGCCTCCCCTGCCGCCTCCTCCCCTTCCTGTCCACGGTCCTGTGTTTCCTCCGCCGAACTTGTCCCCGGCCCGTTTCCCACCTCGTTCCCCTCCTGTTACTCCTCCTTTGTCTCCTGACTCGACACCTCTGTCTCACATCTGGTCTCGCTGTCCCTCTCGTGCTCGTCCTGTCTCTCCTGTTACGCGTTCACACCCTATGTTGCTTTGTTCCCACGCGTCTCATCCTCCCCTCCTCCCATCTCCTCCTCCGTCGTCGCTCACTGTTGCGCCTCCTCTTCTGTCTGACTACCTTCATGCTGCTCATCCTCTTGTTCCTCGGGTCCTTGCCTCCCTTGTTACCGACCCGTCTGTTCTTGTCTCCAGTCTTGACGCTCTTGTCGCTGCTATCACTGACTTCGCCTCTACCTGCCGCCTTGACTACGCTACCACTCTGTTCTCTGACCATGTCTGTCCTCAGCCGTCGGAGGTGCTCTTGCCCTTGGCAGTGACGTCATAGAGGACCGCCAGTACGAGCTTGCTTTCCTGTCTGAGGCTGCTCCCCATCTCTGTTCCATGCTGCTTGTCCCTGAGGGTGGCTCAGACGCTTTTGACATCCCCACCCTTGCACTTACGCTGAGGCGACCTCGAGACCTTGGGCCTCTCAGTGGATATTTGCCACGGAGCAGGAGATGGCATCTTGGAGATCCACCGGTACCTACGTCGACGCAGTTTCCCCATCTGGGGTGAACGTAGTCAATGGCCGGTGGCTCTTCAAGGTGAAGCGCCCCGTTGGAGAGCCGCATGTCTTCAAGGCGCGCTACATGGCTAGAGGCTTCAGTCAGCGAGAGGGGGTGGACTTCTTTCAGACCTTCGCCCCGACCCCGAAGATGACTACTCTTCGGGCGCTGCTACATGTAGTTGAACAGAGTGACTACGAGTTACACTCCCTTGACTTCTCCACGGCGTTTCTCCAGAGCAGTCTACACGAACAGGTCTACCACGCTGAGCACAGGGCTTCACCGGTACCTTTCCTCCTAGGACCCTGTGGCTCCTCCGGCGCCCAGTCTACGGCCTGAGACAAGCGCCTCGTGAGTGGCACGACACGCTGCATGCTACGCTAGCGGACCTGTCGTTCTTTATGTCCTCTACAGACCCCTCGCTCTTTGTTCGTGTCGGCCAGACTCCGTTCTACATCCTTGTCTACGTAGACGATCTGGTCTTTTCTACTGCAGACAGAGATGCACTGGCCTCTGTAAAGGCCGAGTTGCTGAGGAGGCACACTTGCACTGACCTAGGAGAGCTGCGCCGCTACCTTGGCTTGCAGATCTTCAGGGACAGAGCAACACGCACCATCACTCTCACACAGTCACACTTGGTGCGCCAGGTCCTTCCGAGGTTCCGTCATCAATTCTCCTCCGCACAGCCCACACCTCTGCCAGTAGATCACATGCTCTCTGCTCCAGTTCTTGAGGAGTCAGTAGAGCCCAGTGGTCCTTACGCAGAGCTGGTGGGTTGCCCCATGTACCTAATGACTTGCACTCGTCCAGATCTCGCATACCCTCTCAGCATTTTGGCTTGCTTTGTGGCCACAGGCAGACACCTACCACAGCACTGGTCGGGCGCTAAAAGGGTTTTGCGTTATCTAGCAAGTACATCGGGCATGGGGTTAGTGCTCGAAGGACACAAGCCAATTGTCCTTACTGGGCACACTGACGCTTCTTGGGCAGACGACGCTTAGGCCCTCAAGTCCTCCCAGGGCTACTGCTTTAGCCTTGGTTCAGGGGCCATCTCGTGGAGGTCCACTCGCTCCCCGTGGCTGTGAGGCTGAGATCTACGCCGGTGCCATGGCGGCACAGGAGCTCTGCTGGCTGACCTTCTTGCTCACCGACTTAGGTGAGCGGCCTAGCTCTGCCCTGGTTCTATACGTTGATAACAGGGCTATGATCGTCCTGTGTTAGGAGCCTCGACTTGTGGGCAGAATGAAGCACATGGAGCTGCGGTACTTCCTCCTGCGCGAGCTACAGCAGCGTCGCCAGGCCCTCGTAGTACACTTGGCCTCCGGTGCCAACACAGTTGATATCTTTACTAAGGTGCCTGCGCCTAAAGATCATCAGCGGCACTGTTTCCAGCTTGGTTTAGTTCCTGTCGACTCTCACTTTCTAGGACCTTGATTGTGTACTCCTCTATATTTATATCTTCCAGACTGGCCTTGTGGCTTTTGTTCCAGTGGCCGGACTAGTAGTGCCGCCCTGGTTTGCTCGTCTTGTTTGTACATTTGCTGACTGGTCTTCGGTTCGGACCCTTGCCTCAGCGGTTGGATTAGTAGTGCCACCCCGAGGTGCATGTTTCTTGCTCAGCAGTACCTCTTATCTAGCCTAGGGGGTGTGTCAACTGATACATATGTCAGTATGTAGAAGTTATAGGCTAGATAGGTGTACGGTATGTTCTTAGAGGGTACAACTTTAACCCTATATTTCCCTTGTTCATCCTTGCTCCTATTCATTCTAGTGATGTGTCCGGCAAACTTTGGTGGATGTGTTGCTGCCAATGAACTGGATGCTCTTAATAAAATCATGAACAACACACGGTAGCTGAGCATATTCCTACTTATTCAGAAATTCATGTGGTGTACTACAACGCGGATGCCACGATAAAAAGGAGACGCCATGCCTCTGAGCATGAGGCAAACCTTGTGGCACCAACCGACAGAATGGCGGCATGAATGTGTACGTGAAATCGAAGGGGGCGCTGGGCTGGTTATTACTGAATGAGTTTTGTTGCATCAAGGAGAAAGCGGTGCGCAGGGTGAGAGGTCGTGGCCTGAGTGCGAGGAGGATGCCAGGGAGGAGAGCGACGAGGACGACAGCGAGGGCATAGGTATGCCCAGCCCCTGCCGCTGCACCTCGATGGTCGCGTGCCGTATCCCCCACTGCTTCTTGCACAGGCGCCGGGCTGCTGCGGCGAGGTCCTCGGGCGCGGCGTGAGGGAGGGCGAGGATGCGGCAGGAGAGCACTGGCTTGTTGAGAGACAGCTGCCACACGTGCAGGCTGTGCACTGATGCTGCTCCGGGCAGGTGGGAGAGGCTGTGGCGTAGCTGGAGAGGATGGGAGACGGGGGGAAGGAGGGCGGTGAAGGGAGGTGTTGAGAGGAGGAGTGCAGTTGCAGAGAGGAGAAGTGTGGGAACAGAACTGTGGGACAGGAGAGAGAGTAGGACCCAACATGAACAGGCAGACCATGCACGGATTCCATGTGTGTGCGCGGCTGTGCATACTTCCATCCATCTAGATACCCTCTAGCAGAGAGTAAAGCAGAGTGTTGGGAGAGCAATGAAAAGGGCAGGAAGGAACAGGAGTTTACCTCATCGGTGTTGACGCTGCGGGGAGCAGTCTGCAGCAGCACGGAGACAATGTCGCCCGTGATGCCCGTGGTGGTGGCCAGCACGAGGAAGGAAAAGAGGAACGTGCACATCAGATCCACCCACTGCCTGCTCGCCCCACACCGCACACACGACCCACCCATCGCACACAGGGACCACAGAGGGAACAGTCACAGAGAGGGAACAGACTTAGGGGACGAACCGAGTGCTTCAGGACGTCGCATGTGGCTTTGCAGGGATGGAGTGGATGCGGAGTGGCATGGGAGGGCCAGAGTGCTTGTGGGGAGCAAGAATGCCAAGCAAAGCAAGCATCAATCCACAACAGAAAGCGCTTGCTTTGGCAGCAGGCTCAGGCGGGCTTACATGGAGGGGTAGGCCCAGATGACGGCCCCGGCAATGAGCACCCCGATGGACTGCAGCAGATCCCCCAGCACGTGCAGCAGCGCCCCCCTCATGTTCACATTCACGTTCAGGTCCACACGCATGCTCACATCCGGCTCCCGCCCATGCGCTGATGGTACTACTCCCCCTGCCGCTGCTGGTAACGCTGCTGCCTGGCTGCGCCACACTATGGATGCCACGGCTGTAGCCACGCCGGCTACTGCTGCTACAGCCGCTGTTGCTGCTGCCTCCACTGCGCCGGCCGCTGGCTGCAGGAGAGTGGGTTTGGAGTGGGCGGGGGGCGGCTTCTTGCCGTGGCTGCAGCTGTACTGTGGCTTTCGCTGCTCGCCTTGTCGGCCGGTATCCTTCTGGGTGCAGTGCGGTGCGAGGGAGTGGGCGTGCGTGTGAGCATGCGAGTGAGCACAGTCCTGGTTGAGAATGAGGGGCAGGGAGGACTCGTCACACACAGCAAGGGAGGAGGGGGAGCAGGAGGGGGAGGGGATCGTGGACAGTGCCGTGGAGATGCTGGGAGGTAGGGCCAGTGCGTCGTCCGTGGCAGCAACAGAAGCATGAGCGTGAGCAGCAGGAAGAGCAGGAAGAGCGGGAAGAGCGGGAAGGGCAGATGCAAGCAGTGGGAGTTCCACAGCCACATGGTCCGTGTGACACCCAGGCTGTTGTTGTAGGTGGTGCTGTTGGGAGTGGTGTGTGTGGTCATGGTCGTGTGAGTGCTCCTGGTCGTGTGCGTGCTCATGGTTGTGTGCGTGGAGCATGGCATGGGATTGGCAGTGATCAGAGGCATGCGCGTGCGCGTGCGTGTGACTCTTGGAATGGCCATGGGCGCATTTTGGAAGCTCACTTGCATGGGTGGGCGAGTGCCCATGTGCATCGGAGCATGCGTGCTCTGACGCATGCTGCTTCGACTGTGTGCGGTCGTGAGAGTATGCGTGATTGTGAGTGTGCCAGTGAGTGTCCGAGTGTGAGTCCGAGTGGCCGTGCGAGTGCCCATGGCCATCGGAGCACGTCGAGCCCATGTGCATGTGGAAGTGGGGGATGGAGGACGCGCAAGCGGATCCCCCATCGCTGCTGCCGATCACAGCGGGGGAGTGCAGGCACACGGCCATGACGACGTTCGCCAGCGTGCCGAACGCCGCTATGGCGAACATCAGCGGCCCGTCCACTGGCGGGTGCGAGTAGAACAGCCTGCAAACCGCTCGCGGGAGAGGCATGGGGGGGGGGGGAATTGGTTAGTTGCTGGTTGGAAGGGGAAGCTAGTGAACGGGCGGGAGGGGAGGAGTGAGCGGAAGAGAGGGAAGAGAATTGGGAGTGGCGAGAGGGAGGCTTCAGGTTCAGGTTCAGGGTGACGACCCAGATGAGATTGCAGGCGCATGTACTGCATGGATGGGTGGCCGGGATGCGGGGGAGGCGGGGACGGGGGGAGAGGGGGGGGTGGTTGTTGGCGCGCACCTGGAGATAGCTTCGTAGAGGATGAGCGCGGTGACGACCCAGATGAGCGCCACGGACGCCAGCGCGCCCAGCACCTCGGCGCGCACGTAGCCGTACGTGAAGCGCGGGTCGGGCCGCCACCCCGCCATGCGCACCGCCAGCAACGAGATCACCAGCCCCGCCACGTCCGTTAAGAGGTGCGCCGCGTCCGTCATTATAGCGAGGCTGTTCGCCAATAGGCCTGGGGGAGGAGGGGAGGGGGTACGGGGGAGAGGAACAGGGGGAGAGTGAGGGCGGGAGGACGGGCGCGGATAACGAATGTGGGGATTGTTGCGGAACGGGTGAGGAGAGTGGAGGAGGTGTGATGAGAAAGCGGCCATAGAGATTCTTGAGTTGAGAGAAAGGGATTGGTGGGTGCAAAAAATGAAACGTAGTCGAGTGATTGGGCGCGTGCAGGAGCAGAGTCGAACGGCGACGAGGGTGAGCGGTGCGGGTGGGGTTGGAATAGAGAGGTGGGGGTGTAGCGAGGCCGGGGGGGAAGGTGGGGTATGGGGGGAACGCAAGTGGGGTTGGCGGGGGGGAGAAGGTTGAAGGGAAGAAAGGGAGGGAGGAGGATATTAAGGTTTCGAGGAAAATGTGGGAATGGCAAAGACGGGAGCAGCTGATACGCGAATCAGCGGGGCGGGAGTGGCGGGAGTGTAGCGAGAGGAGCACTGACCGCCGACGACCTCGACGAGCATGAAGACGAAGCAGATGCCCACCACCAGCGACAGCTTCCGCTCCACCAGCCGCCGCTCCTCCGCCTCCGCCAATTCCGCCTGCAGCTCGCGGGCCTCGTCGTCCTCGCCGTCATCGTGGTCGTCGTGGTGCGCCATCGGCGCGCTGCGGTGGCACTCGCTGCGCCACTCCACGTCCGCGAAGCTCCCGCGCCCGCTCTCCGCGTGCGGGCCGTCGCTCATGGCGGGGGCTGGCTGGGCGGCGGGGAGAGCGCGAGAAGTTGAAACCAGAGAACGAGAAGGGAGGGCGCGGGGTCGGGCGGGACTTGGAAGCGACGGATGGACGCAACCCTAAAATGGACCAATTTGCGACGCTCGGAAATATAACGGCGAGAGCGGAGCGGACGCCTCCTGGTCAATTCACTGCTGCCTCGGAAGGAAGAAGAGCCACGGGAACAAGTGTCACCAACATCTAGAATTTAGAGTTTCGGGATTTATATTGACGTGCATATGCGTTTGATTGAATGAGCAGCCATCTGAACTGCCAATAAAGGCACAGATAGCTACGGCTCGGTAAACCACGAAGCTATTCCGAGCCTCCTGGGAGGCAGGAGGTTCTATCTACAGGATTGGACAGGTCGAATCGGGAGAACTCCAATGCTCCTCATGCCTCGTCGTAATTTCCTCAATCTGTAAATGCCGGGCCAAGCAGAACAAGCAAGAATTAGTGTGGAAACCCAAAAACATTTACAATCCGCAGGGTCGAAGGACTCCCAACCGTTGCCCGGCAGCCAGCGTAAATTGCGAGGACCAACCAGTGGGAGTCCTTTAAAGTAAATTGCTCAACTTACAGGTTGTTTACGGGCAAGGGGTGCCTCACTAGATTGGGCAGTTGCCAAAGCCAGTCAGGAGCAGAAATGATCATCAGAAAAGTCTACAGCAGAGCAAGAACCTGTCCAAGGAGGTTATAGAGGATCACACGAAGCTCTTGTATGGTGGAGGGTGAAATGCCAAGTCAGCTAACCTGGGCTGAGGCTGGGCTGGACCTTGCCAACGCCTTGAACGTTGGCGATTGGTCTGCCAGTGTCGAAAGCCTCGTTCGTTGCGGAGAGGAAGTCAACAACAGCGCTGGGTAAACCCAAACAAACCTGACTGGGTGCAGATCCCCCTTTTTCCCGAAGATCTGACTAAGTGGGGAGGGCCCTCACCTCCCCTGGAAACATGACTGAATTGTGGGGCGCGTTGCGTCCACATGCCTGTGGGTCGAACTGCGCCGTGCCTTTTTGGGGACTGCGCCTGAACCACCAGCGGGTCAGGCTCGTAACAGGCCCTTGAATGAGCAAGGGAACCACGGTGTACCATGTACAAAACGTTATGTTTGCCTCTACAACACCTACCACTCATGTGTCTCGTGCACAATGACAATGACAGAACCTAGGTCGCTCGCCACCATGGATTCTGCCAGGACGGTTTCACCCCTCAATGTCAGCAGGGATGTTGTCAGGTGACACGTTGGACTCATTTTCGAATCCTAAGCTCCAACTTCAGTGTCCATATAACGAACATCGGACTACCAGGAGTAGGATAATCCAAATAGTTCATTTCGGGGTTTGGGACACGATTATACGAACCCGGGTACAGATCCATGGAGCGACTCGAATTCGTAAACACCAAAATTGTGTCCCCGTTCGCACGTAGCACACAAGTGGGACACCGATTGTCGAGATGCGAGAAAACCGAACGGCGCGCAACGGCCCAAAATGCAGTTACCAAATTTATACCTGCGCGAAACATCTGTTTCGCAGCACGTAAAATACAACACGCGGGGTAAATCACCATAGCCACACGTGAGAGAGACACTCAACTCGGGGCGAGTTCGGTCGCGGATGCGGTCTGGCGTCGCGCGCGCAGATGCATTAGCGACGTCGCCTGGTTTTCGCCACGGCCAGCGGGGCGAAATCCAGGCGCGACACACTTGGAACCCCGTCCCCAAATCTTGCACCTCACGGCTTTTTTACGTTACCAATCCGAAATCTGGTACATGGCCCGACGCATGTGAAGGGTGTTATAAATAATAACTGTGAGTGCGCGGAATAATCATGGAGTACAAGAATGCTTAGCCTAGCATTATAAAGCGAGAGCTCTAGCTAGGCGACGAAGCCGGAGGGCTAGGTTGGGTACAGGCGCGGTCAAAAGGGTCGGAGGCAGCGCGGGCGTGCCTCGGGGTCGCGTCGGAAACGGACCGAGCCTGGTGTTCCGAGAGTTCGGGTGTACGTGATTGCAGTACAACCCGGTAAGGAATAAAATTCCTTACACTACCCCCCCCCCCCCCCCTCTCAAGGAAGGTGATCAACATCATGAAAGCCTTTTCGGGTCAAATAAGATTTGAGCACCGAGTGTTCTTGAATCGAGTCGGAAGTGACCCATGTGTCGTCTTTGTCAGAAACCCAGCCACTAACCACTGGGTTAAAAGGGCTTGTTAAATAGCGGGTAAGTGCGCCCATAGCCCCCCAGGCTCTGCACCTGTGGCCCTTCCCCGAGGATCTCAAGGGCAACCCCAGCGGGTCACTCAACACCCCCCCCCCCGCTGGGATAGGTGGAAGACACGAGCGCCTCTGCAGCGCTGGCACCGGGAGTTGAACCCAAGACCTTTGGCTCTGATACCATGTCAGAAACCCAGCCACTAACCACTGGGTTAAAAGGGCTTGTTAAATAGCGGGTAAGTGCGCCCATAGCCCCCCAGGCTCTGCACCTGTGGCCCTTCCCCGAGGATCTCAAGGGCAACCCCAGCGGGTCACTCAACAGTCTTCGCTTGTGCGGTCGACCCAGCGGACAAGAAAATCCACGTGTCGTCCTGTTGAGTCGAGGCGAACGCGATGACTCAAAAGCCGGAAAGGCTCAAGGGTCGGTTCAGCCAGTGGGCGGACACTGGGGGCGGCCGCTGGTCGTGCGACTGCAGGCTGACGTGGAAGGCGTCGTGAATGCGCCACTCGTCCGGGAGCAGGCCCCCAGAAGTCAAGAAAATTTTCCTGATTCACGAAAAAATTAGGGAGTTTCTCGGTACTTACCCTGATTGTGCAGGGTTTTGTAAATGACAAACCCTGTTTTTTCAGGCTTTTTCTAAGGGTAAACTCTGATCGATCAGCAAGGTTTTTTAGCGAACCCTGAATTTCTCAGCATTGTAGCGGGTCTTAGCCCTTTCCAAAAGCGTGTCTAGGGGGGGCAGTCAAGAATTTCGAGGTTCTCCCCCCCACTTTCCCCCACCCCCCGAGGCTGTGTGAGGGCGCTGATTGGTCCTTGGTCAAAAAAATCTCCGCGTTGTATGTTGGAGGTCATGTGAGGGAGGTGTGCTGAGGACCGTGTGAGGGCAATTGCTAGCCCTTGGCCGAATTTGCTTGATGTGCGCCTGCCCTAGGGCTCTGCGAGGGAAGAGATTCCCTCCGCCCCTGCAATCTGGTCGCCTCCCTCCTGCAATCTGGTCGCCTCCCCCCCTATTCAGCCCTTCCCCCCTCTCCCCCCCACCAATTGTCGTTTCCTTCCCATCCCCCAATCTCGCCACACGCGCGAATTCACTACGAATTCCCAGCACCCCCAAAAACCAAGACTTGAACACACAAAATTCATGAACTATAACATCAATAGAAAGATTGAAAAATCAGTTTTTTTTTTTGAAGTAATTCTGATGGCTCAGGATTTTTTTTTTAGGGGACCCTGAAAATTCAGACTTTTCTGCAAGGAGAATCCTGATGGATCAGGAAGCCTCAAAACCAATCTAGGGCCCTGTCCGGGAGTAATAACTTCGCTGTGACAGGTGTCACCATCTTGACAATACGAAAAGGGCTGCAGAATCGCGGGCGGAGTTTTGAAGGCAGGGGCAATCGAAGGTTCTTCGTGTCGAGAAGGACTTGTTGCCCAGCAGTCATCGTGATATCGCGGCGATGAAGGTCTGTATAGCGTCGAGCAGTTGTGTTGGACTTGCGGATGAACTCGATCGCTTTATCCCGGGCAGCTTGCAAACTTGTCGCGAACTGCTGGGAACATGGCACTGGGTTGTCGATGTGGGTAGTCGTCGGGACGGTCGGATCCATCCCGTAGTTTAGAAAAAAACGGCGAGTGATTGGCGTAGTTTAGGAATAATAACTGAGAGTGCGCGGAATAATGATGACGAGTACAAGAATGCTTAGCCTAGCATTATATAGCGAGAGCTCTAGCTAGGCGACGAAGCCGGAGGGCTAGGTTGGGTACAGGCGCGGTCGAAAGGATCGGAGGCGGTGCGGGCGTGCCTCGGGGTCGCGTCGGAAACGGACCGAGCCTGGTGTTCCGAGAGTTCGGGTGTACGCGATTGCAGTACAACCCGGTAAGGAATAAAATTCCTTACAAAGGGTGTCCCACGTAACGCGCCCGTTTCTTTCGTGTCCTGGCAAAACCTTAAACAAGGTGTTGTTAAAATCGGGTTACTATTCACGAAATGAAAAGTGTATGAACTATTTGGACCCGCCCTTAGAGCTATCTAAGGGAGGGTCCAAATAGTTCATTTCGGGGTTTGGGACACGACTTTTCGAACCCGGGTACAGATCCTTGAAACGACTCCAAATTCGTAAACACCAGAAATTGTGCCTCCGTTCGCACGTAGCACACAAGCGGGACGCCGGTTGTCGAGATGTGAGAAAACCGAACAGTGCGCAACGGCCCAAAACACAGTTACCAAATGTATACCTGCGTGAAACATCTACCTGCGCGAAACATCTGTTTCGCAGAGCGCAAAATACAAAAGGCGGAGAAAATCACCATGGTCATACGTGAGAGAGAGACACTCAACTCGTGGCGGGTTGGGTTGCGGATTGGGTCTTCGCACGCGCAGATGCATTCGCGACGTCGCCTGGTTTTCGCCACAGCCAGCGAGGCGAAATCCAGGCGCGACACACTTGGAACTGCGTCCCCGAATCTTGCACCTCACGGCTTTTTTACGTTTACCAATCCGAAATCAGGTACATGGCCCGACGCACGTGAAGGGTGTCCCACGTTACACGTCAGTTTCTTTCGTGTCCTGGCGAAAAAGGTGTTACTAGTTAAAATCGGGTTATTTTTCACGAAATGAAGAGTGTGAACTATTTGGACCCGCCCTAACGTCAATGTCCAATAATCTCGTCCACAGTGGTTCTTATCCTGGGTGATCATGTTCTTGCAATCACAATACGCGGTTACTGCCATCATATCAGAGCATGGATTTCAACAAGTCCCAAGGAAATTCCTGCTGCATGCCTGGAAGCTCAAGCAAAAGCTTGCAGTGTTTTGTCAGGTGCTCATTCTCCTCTTTATATCTGTCAAAGGCCAGGGATATCATCATCGCTTAGGGTCAAGGATGCCAGTCGCAATCAGAGCCAGTCATCGTCACTCTCAGCCAAAAGGCTTTGACGGCTCGGTTCCATCATCGCCAGGTGCGGTGCCTGCTGCTCCTTCGTCTCCGTCCATGATCGCGAACCTATCGTGTGGGGGTCAGCCTTCGACGTAAAAAAATGTGACCATACCGGTGTCGGCAACAGATAATGGATCACCAGTCGCTCTGCCTGAGTCGCCGCCTGCTCCTGTTGCTCCACGCGTCCCAGAACAGGAGAAACCTGTACCTGTAGAGGGTGGAGATGTTGGGTTCCATGTTCCATATGTTGTTGCTGAAGAAGATGATGGGTGTCTTAGCGATGATCCTGAGTAAGGATCGGATCCAGCGCTTAGGGAGGAGGTCGCTGCTCTCGCTTGTCACCCGATCACTTTGCTGGTTTCGTTTACGTACCTGAGGGAGATGGCACGGATTAAGGAAATGGTGGTGCTCCTACTGACGATTTGGCGGGCTCGTCTGAGTGGGGGAGCGCAAAAATCCATGAAGTATCAGGAACTTTAGCCTGCGTACCTATCGAAGCAGAGTTTTGAGAGGTTGCTTGTTCGTTTTCTTAACCTTGCCATTTCTGAGTTCATCAGGAGCTAGGAGGTGGATCACAACTGTATCAATGGTTACCGTCTGATGTTAGGTTGGCAGTTTCCGGAAAATGCAGATTCCCTGAAGGAGAAGTTGAAGGTTGGAAGGATCGAAGTGCTTTTCAAGAGCATCCCAACAGCTATTACCCCAGAGATATTGTTGAAGATGTTGGTGCCAGTTCCGCTTAAGAAGCGCGCAATGACGGCGTATCGCTCGGTCTCGTGCTTACATCGCGAGACAGATCCGGTTTTCGGGCTGGACACAGACAAGATCCGTTGTGTCGTGGTCTGTCATGAGGAAGATCGGTTCCGTTGACATCACCTGGTTGAAGACCCACTGCAGGCAGGGAAGCTGATCCGCGTCCATTACCCGAAGTTGTCCTGCATGTACTGCAAGGGGATGCATGATGCAAAGAACCATGGTGACTTTGTGGTGGAGCATCAGGACAGCATTGCGAAGTGGAAGTTGTCGCTGGGAAAGGTTCACATGCTCAACGCTACATGGTTTATGCTCTTACCATCCGCGCTCCAGCAGGTGCTGCCTTTCTGCGTTTCACCAGCTCATCCTCCTCTCTTTTCATTTGCCTTGCCTGCCGCTCACCTGTCGTTGTCGTGCTATCAGGCTGCTGATTCCTCCCATCTTTGTTTCTTGCTCAGCCGCCTCCCTAAAGTTGTCAGCTCTTGTGAAGCCGATCTTGAAGGATGCGGCCATTGCTCTTACCTCGACTGGCCCCAGCAAGGAGGACTGGATCTGCGTCCAGGAATGCTGCGACAAGGCTCATGGCTCCTCATTCCAGCTGGAAACGCATCACATTACCTCTTCCCATCATTGTACTGGCAAGCTACAGCCTGGTGTCGCCACCCGCAGTAGCAAGGAGAGTGCCAGTCTCTCGGTAGTGAAGAAGGAGTTTGGCATCGGCGAGCCTCCCAAGGAGCATGTCACTCGTTCTGCACCCAAGAACTAACGCTCCTCAATCTGTGTACCCACGTATTCCGACCGTACCTGGTAGTGGTTGTCTGCGTTAGGTGCCGAAGTTGCTCCGTGCTCTCTCTGTACCCGTTCATCCGCCTCAGCTGCACTGTTGTATCCGGCCTGTGGATGATAAAGGGCCTTCAGTTGTTGGAATCATGAGTAGCCTGAAAAACCTTTCTCTCTGTGAGGCCAACATCAATGGCCTAAATAGCCTAGGTAAGCAGGGCAGATGCGGAGAATGGATAAGAAAGGTAGCCGATGTGGTGGTGCTCACAGACACTAGAGTTCCACAAGACCATAATTGTTGGACTCAACTAGGCCCTACTGCAATGACGGCGGTGGGCTCGAGAGAGAAGGCAGGGGGTATTGGAGTGCTGTGTTTCCGGAATGAAGTTACCTTCTTGAAGGTGGTGACTCACGCATCGGGAAGGCTCATCAGGGTGAAGGTTTGGTGGGGGGATCTTGATCTGGTGTCGGTTGCAGCGTACTTTCCGGTGCAGGCTGACATCAGGGGTCCCTTTTACAGGGATGTGTTGACGCCTTTCATCGCCGATATCGCAACTTCAGAGAAGTTGGTTCCGATGGGGGATCTGAACGTGGTAGCGGACCCGGCGCTCGACAGGTCTTCAGGCCTGGGCTCAAGGGGGGAGAACAGCAGAATTTTGGGTATCTGCTCGGCCTTCGACCTGAACAACTCCTTAAGGTCCCTGCACCCGAGTGGGAGGGAGTATACCTTTTTCT